TTGTTGTTGTCTGTGTCTTTTGTTGCAGTTATCCAACGGATACAGACAAACTCATGCTGGCTAAGCAGACAGGTCTCTCCAGAAATCAGGTTTTACTTCTGATATATCTTCAGTCTTCTTTTTTCCATCTTTTCTTGATCATAATTTAAGAAATTTCTTGCTATATAAATTAAACACAGAGATTTAATCTTTTACGAAATGAGATTCTGTTGTCTATGTTATAAATTGGTTTATTAAGTTTGACTAAGCGTTACATTTTTGTTATGAAAATTTAACCTTTGGTTATTGATAATGACTAATTAGGGATTTTGTGTTTCGAAAGTAATATTATATCGCTTGTGGGTTATTAATTTATTATGGTAAAAATGTTATTTTAGGTATCGAATTGGTTCATAAACGCAAGAGTTAGGGTTTGGAAACCGATGGTGGAAGAGATTCACATGCTGGAGACTCGACAATCTCAGAGATCTTCTTCTTCTTCTTGGAGAGACGAACGTAGTAGCACCACCGTCTTCCCTGAAAACAACAACAACAACCCATCTTCCTCCGCGGTACAGCAAAGAGCTAACAACTCACCTCCGGCTAGACGGGCTCGAAACGACGACGTTCATGGCACCAACAACAACAGCTATGTAAACAGTGGGAGTGGCGGCGGTGGTAGCGCGGTTGGCTTCTCGTATGGAATTGGGTCGTCGAATGTGCCGGTGATGAATAACAGCACGAACGGTGGAGTGTCGTTGACGTTAGGGCTTCATCATCAGATTGGGTTACCAGAGCCTTTTCCGATGACAACTGCTCAGAGGTTTGGGCTTGACGGTGGTAGTGGCGACGGGGGTGGTGGTGGTGGGTATGAAGGGCAAAATCGTCAGTTTGGGAGAGATTTTATTGGTGGTAGTAATCATCAGTTTCTACATGATTTTGTAGGATGAGATTATTTGTGTGGAAAGAAAAAAAAATGTTTGACGTTTGGGTATGTATAAGATATGGGGGAATTGAAATGCATATGATGTGTATATTAGAATGTTTTCTTCTTCTTATTTTGTTTGTTTCCTTTTCACAAATGGAATTCTTTTTAACGACTGAAATTGGACTCAATCGAAATAAACCGGATGTAAAAAACATGGTTTAGACTTTAGACTTTAGAGTAGTCTAGGTCGTGGTGAAATATAAGAGAGATCTTACTAGCTCATTGTTTTAAAAAATTGACATGATTAAAAACATGGTGTTACATGTCACAATTATCGGTGAAGAATGTGATTAAGATGTTTATCATTGATCGTAGCAATTTTGAACTATCTGTTTTGCTTGAATCTTCTTAACATTGACTAGCTCAACATCTTGTTTTCAAACCCTAAAACAATCGGCCTTGAAAGTTTTCTTACTAATTGAGTTATCTTTTTGAGTCGGATGCAGTTTTCACTCCGCTCAATATCGTTGAAATTCTACTCGGAAAAATAAATTTGAACCGATTTCAAAATACAAATGAGTTGGGTTTAATTTTCACGTGACTTGGTTCTCTTTTAAAACATGTGTACTAGTAGGTCTGCATTTTGAAGAGCCCATGAGAGCAAAAGATGGAAAATAAAATGGTGCTTTTGTTGCTTCAAATAACTTTGCATTTGCTTTAGGGAAACAAGGAAGATAGATATACATAACCTTTCCCTCTCATGAGAAAAAAAGTAAGAAAAGAAAATATTCTCCTAACCATTTCTCAGCCTTTTAGTTTGTTTGCATACCATTTTTGTTTATATTCTTGGATTATGTCAATTTGATACAATGTTTTTAATTTCTGTCACACCATAATTGAGAAGAGAATCGGTTCATGAAATGATCCGAGAGAAGAATACAAAAGCAGTCAAAGAATTTTTTAAAAACTATTTCTATATTAAAAAGGTAAAAAGGAAAAAATAAATTGAAGGCATGCCATCATTGGCTCCTAAAGAACAAAGAATCAATTTCTCATGATTTGATCTCACAATCCGTCTCTTTATGTGGATGCGGAAAAACACTCTCCACACGTTTCATATAAAAAGTTCAATTAAATTTAAATACACAAGATAACTATTCGATTTGTTCTTGAATATTTCAACAGAAACATTATGTCTATGACTATGAGCAACGGATGAGAAGGTATGTCTTTTAAAATACGAAGGAACAAAAAAAAAGTTTTTGGTAGAAAATAAAGAAACACGAATTAATGCACAAAAAAATACATAATTTTGTATAAACAAACACTCGCAAATCCCTCATAGAAGTTGGTAAAGTTTTTTTTTTTAATGTGTCCTATTTATAGAAGTCGATATGTTCATTTCTATAACGTTTCAATGAAAGTTTATGACCTTTCATAATGTATAACCATAATTCATGTAATTCAATGGATCTCATATTATGTCTAGATATATCCGAATCATTTAGGTTCTAAAAACAATATGTTTTGTAAGCAAAGCTGTATACATATAATGGCAACCTCTTAGCCACCAGACACGTCAACCGTACATGTTATATTATATGTTTTCATATTGGTCTATCTATATGCTGAACTAGAAATAAAAATGATAATATATAAGAAACCATGGACAACTAAAGATATTGTCTTTCTGTGTGAGTATTTGTTTTTTTTTTGATAAATTCCAGAAGCATTAAACCTTTGGAATAAGTATTATTCTTTTGCACCATTACTATTTTATAAGCTTCCCCCGCTCTATATATATTCTCACCATTAACATCAACAAAAACAACACGAAGAAGAAGATGAAGGTACTTGGTGATGAACGGGTAATCTGCATCCTGAGGTTTAAAACTTTATAAGCAGAGGTATGTGACTCTATAGTTTTTAATCCTCGGGATACAGATTACCTCTTCCTTACTCGAAGTACAACACAACACCTAACTCAAGAAAACACTTAGCTTTAACTGTTTTGGAGCATCGAACTGTCATATTAACTCCATCGACACTGGTTAGTTCAAAGATAATCCTTACTCTCTGTACTTTTGAATTTTGTCAAACAAACATCATGCGAGTTTAAATCCGAACGGTGACACAGTGATGGTACTCAAATTGACATGAGACTATATACGAGAGTAGTATATACGTATTACGTACATTTCACTAATGCTTTATTCTTTTTCATTTTTTTTTAACTGCAGGTGATGTACTTATCTAAGTGAAGAATATATTCATCAATCATTAATTTGGTGAATATATTCATCTAAGTGAATACACCCCTCTCTTGGAGAAGATCATAGCCAAGTTCAAAGGTTGGGCAGTTAAGTCTCTATCTTTTGCTGGGAGAGCACAACTAATTTCTTCAGTAATTTATGGGACAGTGAACTTCTGGATGTCGACATTTTTGCTTCCTAAAGGGTGTATTAGAAAGATCGAGTCTCTGTGTTCAAACTTTTTGTGGTCTGGGAGCATTGAGACGCATACAAAAGCTAAAGTGGCTTGGTCAACTTGTTGCCTCCCAAAAAATGAAGGCGGCCTTGGCTTCAAAAGATTCTCTGTTTGGAACGCCACGTTATCTCTCAGATTAATTTGGCTCCTTTTCTCCAACAGTGGATCCTTATGGGTCGCTTGGCAGCACCACCACCATAAGCTTGATTCGTGTAGCTTCTGGGAAGTAAAGCAAAAGGGTAGTGACTCGTGGTTCTGGAAGATTCTGCTCAAACTTAGAGGTTTGGCCCGCAAGTTCATCAGCTGTACTATTGGCAGTGGTTCTACGGCTTGGTTTTGGCATGACAATTGGACGCCTTTTGGTCCTCTTATCACTCACTTGGGCGACGAGGGGCCGAGAAGCTTGCGAATCCCGCTTAATGCCAGGGTAAATGAGGCTTGTAACCGGTTAGGTTGGGTTCTTGCCCCGCCACGATCTGATCAGGCGGTGAATCTTCACATCTTCTTATCAACTATCAATCTTCCCAGCTCCTCTACAGCAGATGACTTGTTTGATTGGGTTATTGATGACAAGCGTATTGGCAAATATTCCTCAAGTAAAACGTGGGAGGCTTTAAGGCCGAGAGAGTCAGCTAAGGGTTGGGCTGATTCTGTTTGGTTTAAAGGCTCTACTCCCAGGCACGCTTTCAATTTTTGGGTTGCAAATCTTGACAGGTTACCTACTTTGTCTCGCCTAGCTTCTTGGGGTTTACAGGATAAGCCAACCTTCTACTGTCTTCACTAGTTGGTCAGCCTTGTTATCATGGACAAAGGCAGGCAGCGTTTCCTCTCCATATACTCTTAGGCTTCTGCTAACTCATGCCCTTGTCTATAGTATATGGAAGCAGAGAAATAACCTCATTCATAATCATGTCGCAGTCCCGCCGCTCATTATCTTCAGAGATATTGACCGCCAAATCATTAACTCTATCACTGCCAGGAGGAATCAAAAGAAGTTCAAAAACCTCATGGCGTTGTGGCTCCACTAGAGGATCCAATCTTTCCCTTCTCTTAAGCTTGAATCTGTAAATGTTCCTTGTTTTTTATTATTTTTTGGCAAGGATCATTCATCTTTGGTTTTCTTTTGTAACACCAAAACTTTCATATATGATATTAACTCTCTTAGCAAAAAAAAAAAATCATTAATTTGGTCTAGTCATTCCAAGTGGGATATGATTTGATACATATAATAGTCTAAAATATGATTTTATGCCAGTAATATTATTTTTTCTGTACCCTATATCTATTCCTCTCTAAATACTTTTTTCAGATCCTCCTTAAACATAGTCTAAGAATATGATTTTAATCTAATCGTTTTACAAATCATAGTCTCAGACTTTCGGTCTAGTCTAGATCGGTTTAGATGCGTTTTGTTTTGGAAACCGGATTACATAAAATCTGGACTTGGACCCCTTTGGTTAACAAAAAACCAGACTAAAGGGCATAGACGTCATTTTGATTAAAAAAAGACGCGTGGCGTAACATCATGATTCTCCTTCCTCTTTCCCCAATGCAAAGAAAAAGCGTTATAGACTTTTCAATTTTCCGATATAAGCACGAAATCGCAGAGTTTTCTCTCTTCGATTTTGATCACAATCGATCGATTCTGTTGAGAATTTCTTCTGTTTGCTTGTGTTAATTAGGGATTGTGGAATCAGAAGTGTTGAGTTTTGTGATCGGAGATTATGGATTGGGGAAACGTAACGGTTGAGGATCTCGTCGATGCTCTCCGAGAAGTTGACTGGTCGTCTCCGCCGCGTCCGCCGTCTGAGTTCTTTTCTAGGTTCACCGTTCCTAAATCTTTTGCTAAATGGGATAGTCGTCTCAAGTGCAATCTCTACTAGTACGATCTCTATCTATCTTTGTTCGCCAATTGATTATTTGTTTCTTCAATTTGTTGCTTGGAACGATTCATATTTATTCGGATCTGAATCTTTTTGTTAGCTTAGTTTCCGTATTGAGCTTAATTTTGACCTGTGAGTGATGATCTTGTTTTTGCAGCTACCGAACAAACTATTTCATCATGATCGTCGTTATACTTGGTATGTGCTTAGCATTATCATCTGTGTTGTTTATCAATGATGTCTTCTCTTAGAATTGTCAAATTTTACTTGTCAGGATTGGGATTTCTTACAAGGCCTCTCGCTATCTTCTCTGCGCTTTTGACAGCATTAAGTGTGGCATTTCTAAATGACAGGTTTTTCTTCTTCTTTTTATTGTTTTCAAACTCAGTTAAATCTCACACCTTTGATTTCTGGATATGCTTGAATCAGTAGATCCGTAATGAGGATTCTTGTCTACAGCTTTGCAGGTTCTTTTAGTGAGAAGGCAACACGAACCACCAGAAGATTCTCTCCACAGTTAGCTGCTAAAATGAGACCTCCTTTGACGTATGTTTATCACTTGTCTCTCTTTGTTAAGTTTCATACTCTTTGTTACTTGCTTATCATCTATGCTATCTGTGTTGTTATAGACCTGTCATTCGTGGGCGTCCATCATCAAAGAGAGCAATCCATGTATGTGGTCAACCCCGTTGGATCTTTGTCTTGACATGCTCACTTGGTATGTGGCTTTGTATAGTTTCAATTGATGAGATACTTTATGAAATATATATCCTGAAACTGCTTTTGTTTCACAGTGAGTTTTGCTCTTTGGTATATTTCCTGTGGTTTGTTCACAGTCTCGTTGGCGCTACTCATTGGACTTCTTGGTATGCAATCTACACAAATTGTCATAAGTCATAACTTAGTTTCTCTCACTCTCATAAGCTTTTATAAACCCAACCTCTTTTTGTACTTTGTGTTACAGCTACAGTTCTTCATGCAAGCTTGAGAACACCAAACTTGAAGGCACGTCTTAACACATTTAGGGAGGAATTCCGAGCAGTGTGGCGTAACTACAGCGAGATTTAGAGTGATGTAAGTTTAAAACCTCTTAATTCTTTGCCTAACATCTTTGTGCTTAATTGGATGGTTATTTATTTGAAATGTTGACATTCTTTGGCAGCTTGTACCACCATCACCATGATCGTGTTCTGCTGAGGACATGAAGCGGTAAAGACCAAACTTACAGCATTTCTCCAAGATAAACCTGGTTTTGTTATCGCTGTTCTCTGGGTGTTCATTCTGGATTTGTGTTACTCAATGACTGGGATCATCTGTTTTCTTTGATTCGGGTTTTGCTTTTTTGGTAGCAAAGTCCTCTTTTTTTGCTAAAGACTTGTAAAGCCAGCTTTGTTGCTGTTCTTCGTTCTCAAACAAACCCTTTGTGTACAAGTCTTATTAGAATCGTTTAACAGCTTGCATTTTTTCTTTCTTTTTTGGGTTGAGGTCTAGTTACAATAGTAACGAGATAATAAGAAATGAAAATTAAAAGATGATTGCTAACCTAGAGTAATTGGATAAGAAGAGTGCCTACAAAATTTGCAAGATTTTTGGGGAAAATGCAAAAAAAATTTACTTTATTGTGGTCGTATCATTTTTGTCAACTGAAATTCGAAAGAGTTGCATCTTAATTTAACCAAAAAACCATTTTAAAACGTGTAGCAATATTGCAACAAGCTTAACCTCACTTTTTAACGATTGCTTGATCAATCATGGTGATATCAAGTTCATCTAAGATAACTCAAATGTTTTAAGCAAAAAAAAAAACATCTCGCTCTTATTTTCTGAACAAAGTTTAGATTCACTTCTCGACGAAAGACTTGAGATCCTTGAGCCATTGAAGATACTCTCTACTATCTTTGTTGGCCACATAATCTGCCAGAAAGGTAGTGAAGCTCGGTTTAATGCCTCTGATCTCCAAGTACCTGTGGAAAGCCTTCTGCAAATTCTCATCCAAGTCACTGCACATAACACAATAACCAAATTCACTCACATAACAATCTCCCAATCTCATATATTGCAAACCAAACTCACTATGATTGAATTGAACTTACTCAAAGTCAGGTCCTTCGTAAGCGAGCTCATTCTCAGATTCTTGCGGTTGTTTGATCGATAAACTATCAATCACAATCTCATCCGGGTATGCACTGACTCCAAACTCAAGACAGACACCATCACCTTTCTCCACACTAACAACCATCGGAACCCGGATTTTACCCACGCTTTCTTGATCTTCATCGTCTCCTTCATCGTTTGGTTCTGCTTCATCTTCTTCATCATCATAAGAAGCAACAGAGTCAACTACCACTTGGATGGTTTCATCCTCAAATTTCCTTCTCAGCAACACAGTTCTTTCCCCTGGAGTATCAATAATCTCAAAAGGAAACCCTTCTGGTTTCTCTTCCAACTGTTTTCCAAAAAACATTTTTAGTAACTGAGAAACCAAATTCACATTCTAATTCAGATACAGTTCTTCTAAAATCACACATTCCTGAACCCTAGAAATACCCAAGTCTCATGAATTTGAGCAGGATCAAGAATATTGAAACAGAGAACTTACGATGCTAGTATCATGAGGCGCCTCCTCTTCGACGGCGCAATCAATTTCAGATTCGATAACTCTAACAAGACTCTCATCGGCGGTTGTTTTAGTGATCGCACTTTCCGTCGAAAACCTCGAGAATGAGAATGAACTAACAGATCCACGCATGATCTGGCTACCAAGAATCAGCTTCTCGGCGGAGACAGCGCCACTGCGGAAGCTCACCGGAGATCTAGCCGCACGGAAAGCAAGAGTAGCCACTGTTGACGAAGCTCGACGAAACACGGTGCTCAACGCCATTTTTGAGGATTCTAGGGTTTTCTGGAAGTGAGAAGAGATCGAAATGAGGGTTTTACTGAGAAGAGACAAGAGAGGTTTAAGGTTTGTTTATAGTGTGTGAAAAATCTTTAGGATATAATACTTAATAAGGCCCAATTCCTTAATGGGCCATAAGAAACCCATAGATGAATTTAAAAAAATTTGGCGAAAAATAAAAAGATTAAAAAAGTAAAAAAAAGTTGGAATATTCGTAGAGTGGGAGAGGAATGTCTCTGTGTGGACACGTGGTAAAGCCTAAAAGGCAAAAAGAAAGAAGAACAAATAGCTCTCTCAGGCGTCAGAATTGCGTCACTGTTTCTTCAACTTCAATTTTAATTTGGTTGGCTTGAAGTTAAGGGAAACATAATTGTTCCGCTTAAAAGCAGAATTAAATTTTGGTAGATATTTGTTTTTAAAATTTTATAGCTCAAAAAAGTTGTCATTCTTTTAATGTTGGTTTTCTGGTGGCGATGCTCTTAATTACGCAATTCCGTAGGATTTATGATCTTAGGTGAAACTTTTGTGTTTTGGGTTTGTGAAGGTCCCTGATTAAATTATGGGTTTAGGGTTTTTTTTTATGATCGGTTTCGTGTAAAGTAGCGATTTTTATTTTCCGGGATTTTGGTGAACAGATATAGAAAGTCTAGATTTTTTTTTTGTTTCTTGTGTTTGTGTGTTTGGTCCTGATCAATGAAGAAGATGATTGGGAGTCCTGGAACAATGAGTGGGTTGATACTGAGATTAGGGCAATGTGCAACTGCTGCTGCTTCCATTGGTGTTATGGTTTCTTCTTACGACTTCTCTAATTACACTGCTTTCTGGTAATTGTCAAACTTCAATCTCATTGGTCTTGGTGGTTCGTTTAGTTTAGTTGAAGAAATTGGACATTGATATACCAAAAATCTAGACTTTGTAGTTTTGTCTTGGATAACTTGAAGATAGAGCTAACAAAACTAGTGATTGTGTGTGATTGTATCCTTTTAACATTTACCTGAATATTTGGAAATGGGAATGTTTCTATATTTTGATTACTGGATAGGGTTATTTCAAAAGATACAAGATGATTATAGCTTTTGTTAATGATTTCAGCTTCTTAGTCGCATCTATGGGTCTTCAATTGATTTGGAGCTTTGGACTTGCTTGTCTTGACGTATATGCGATAAGGAGAAAAAGTGATTTACAAAGCCCTATCTTATTGAGCCTTTTCACTGTTGGTGATTGGGTACTAAACTTATCTTCCATTTCATTATAGCTAATAATGTTCATTCACTGTTGGTGTCTTGTTGTTTTAAAGGTTATGTGTTTGATAGGTTTCTTTTGGAATTCTGCAGGTCACCGCACTTCTCGCTCTTGCAGCCGCGTGTTCCTCTGCAGGAGTTACGGTTTTATTCACAAAAGACACTGAGTTTTGCAGGCAGCAACCCGCTCTCTCTTGCGATAGGTTTCAGATTTCTGTCGGTTTATCTTTCTTTAATTGGTTTTTAGCTGCTATATCATCTCATACCATGTTTTGGATCTTGATATGATATTAAACAAAACCCATTCTCCTTGATTTTACAAAAATCCATCTCTATGAATTGTTTTTCTCTCTTCTTTTATCCAATCCATAACCGGAAACAGGGCAAGGGTACAAGTCATTTTGGTGAAGTCTAAGACAACTATGTCTCAGAAACCTCTTGTGACAGAATATTGATGATGTATTCAATCTCATCAGCAACCTCTTTCATCGAAGGCCGGTTTTGTCTCCGCTCGTTAAGGCACGCAGAGGCTAAATTCCCAAGCTGCTGCATCGTCTGCAGGTCAAGCTTGCTAGCCATCTTCTTGAGAAGCGGATCAATGCATTCAATCAATCTCTCTTGATCCATCATCTTGTTAATATACATCACCAGGTTCACATCTTCCTCTTCTCTACTGAAATCTATCGCCTTTTTTGATGTAACCATCTCCAGAAGCACAACCCCGAAGCTGTATACATCGCTCTTATCAGTTAGCTGGAAATTCCGGTAGTATTCTGGATCGAGATATCCCAATGTACCTTGCGCACCCGTGAAGATATGGCTCTCGTTATTAGCGGTTTCTGTCAAATCCACAAGCCTCGAAAGCCCAAAGTCTGAAACTTTGGCGTTTAGCTTATCATCAAGCAAAATATTGCTCGATTTTACATCGCGGTGATAAATCGGCGGCTGTGCTGCGGAATGGAGATAAGCTAATCCTTCAGCAGTTTGGTATGCGATCTGCAGTCTGCGCCGCCAAGTCAGCGGTTTCCAAGTGCGATCTGGATTGCCATGGAGATGTTCGAATAGTGTTCCGTTGGGAATAAACTCGTAGATCAAGAGAGGCAATTCAAGATCGACACAGCAACCGAGAAGCCTAACTAAGCTTCTATGATTGACTTGGCAAAGAATCCGGACTTCGTTTAGGATCTGATCAGTGCCTTTGGTGTTGTTAAGCTTTGCTCGTTTGATCGCGGTTATGGTTCCGTCCTCAAGAACCGCTTTAAACACTTCTCCGAAACCTCCGGTGCCTATGAGATTGTCTTTTGAGAAATTGTTGGTTGCTTTCGTGATTTCTCTGCCAGTGAAGATTCTTGATGACTTTCCCGTGGAATTTGCACTAAGCATCTCTTCTCGCTCCTTGACGATGTTCTTATGGAGATCCTTTTTAACCTTTTGGTGGCTATGTTTGGTTGCAATAACCGCTACCGCAATCGCTAGTGTAACTCCCACAACTGCAACAGCCGCACCTTCAAGAGCAAAGAAGTTAAAATGGTGTACAATCATATGGGAGTTTGAATATATTGTCGGTTCGATTCGGTTTTAATGTTTATCATTTGTACCTGCGAAGACAACGGTCTTCTTCTTCTTTTTGCAGTGTTTCCCATGGCGACATTTACCACCTAATACACATGTATGCCAAGAACTAATCAACACAAATTATATGATTCAAGAAGTTTGATTTCAATGGTTCGCTTGTTATGCGGTTTACTTACATATTGCGTTAACCGGATCCCATTCCAAACCTTTTTTGCAGGAGCATCGTTTTAGGCCGAGACTCGTCGGGTCAGGCAAGCATTTTGATTTACCCAACAAGAGGTTACAATCTACATCACTTTTGCAAACTGGTTCTTTAGGCAATGCCCATTGCAACTCTAGCCCTCTGTCAGGCCATTTTATCCCGGGAGGAGGAACCTCTTTGTTTGGATTCAGCCCCACGAAGCTCTGGTACGCGAGACATCCTCCACCGTTGATCCTAATCGTGTAAGCGGTTTGAGACCCATCGGTTCTGAAGGTGCAACACAAGGGAGCCTTAGAACAAGGTGATGCATTGTTCTTGATGTAGCTGTAGCATAAACTGGTAGGACTACAATCTATTGGCGCCTGCAGAGCCCAAAATCTCTTGGTCAGTCCTGAAAACCGGTTTTCATTACATTTAAGTCGAAATCTACTTTCATTGAACCCAAACCGAATTACCAAACTAAAACTGATCTCAAATTTAATCATAAAACCAATTGGTTCTACAATCTTCACACCAAACCAACTGACTCGAATATTTTGTCTTATTGAACTAAACTTTTTTCTATGTGTAATTCAAATATCCAAATAACCAACATAAACAAAACAAAAAACCAGTTAGAACCAGAGGAAAAAGTCAAAACGGTTGTGTTGCTTTACCTGCAGCATAGCCTGAGAGCAATTAAGTAGCAAGATAGTGTTGCTGCTAGTGATGCTGAAAGGGAGATGTGGATCGAGCTCAAGGCCTTGTTTAGAGACATCAGCTGAGATACAAGATCCGGCGCTAGCAAGACCGGGTGGGAGTAGAACGATCCGCTGGGTCACCGAGTTGATGGACGTGATGACATAAGATGACCCATGGAGGGCACCAAAATAAAGCTTACCACCAACACAATTTATCCTATAGGCTTGATCGCCGCAGGTTGGACCCGTGCTTAGAGGATAAGGTACAACCATGGGTCCGCAGTTAGGACACCGTGGTGGTCCGGCCGTGGGAGGTTTTGCCTTAGCATGGCGGGCACAAGAATGACCTGCGCATGCTAGCCATACGGTCAAGAGAGTTGGTATCAATACGGTGTAGTATGATCGCTTCTTCTCCATTTTGGTGAAATAATTAGAATATGGAGAATTAGTGATCAGAAGATGTGAAGAGAGGTTTAGGTTTATGTACTAATGAAAGGACATTATTACTTATGTTATTGTTGTGGTTATACATTTGTTACGTATATCTTAGTGGTGATAAAGTAAAAAAAGCAATTCCCAAGTTTGTTGTAAAACGAGAAATGTGAGGATTGATTTGGATATGCTCAAAATCATGTTTGTATTTTCTAAGGAAGATTGTGCAGATTCAGTGTCTGTCACTCATGATCATCCCGACATTTTCATGTTTCCTAAGTTTTCTTTACTATTCAACGACAAGTATACTTTCCATTCTTCTCTTTATACTCTAAGGTATTGATTGTTCATTTTTCACTAGAGTTTGCGTTATATATTTAGATTCGACCGTTTTCGGCAACTATAATTTTCACTACATCTCTTGTTCATTTTGGTTTAGGACGATTAATTGCTATTCAGAAAAATTCTGGTAGATTTTCTGAATTGTAAAAAGAATTTTGATACGCTTTGTTCTCGCTTACATATGTTATATATACAAAAAATAACATTGTAGTATCACATATTTTACCATTTATCGGTATCGATACAAAAACTTAAGAATTTAAGTGGGAGTCGTGTGACAATATAGAGTTTTCTAGAACATGTTTTTAGTAAATCTATGATAAGGTTTTTTTTTTCCGTAATCGTATACATCTTCCAAGATATATTACGAACTTTAACAAACACTTAAAGGAACAAAAAAAGAAGAATAAGGATGAACAATGTGTTCAAGATCCAAAGCTTTGCACATGCAAAGATTTTAAGTTTATCACATATTTTAATTTTTGTAGTCGTTGTTAAAAACTTAAATACGAGAAGTGTCCGGTTTCATTACGGAGTTATGTAACCAAGTTTAAGATACCGTTCCCACTTCCCACACCACTGGAAAGCCACAACAACCCCTTAGTTACCCCTATAGCCATGTTTATATATATACTAGTTTTCAATTATATGTAATTTCATATAAATGTTTTTTTTTTTTTTTTTTTTTTTGTCGGCAATTTCATATAAATGTTAAGTACACGATATTGCAATTATGTTTAGATAGAAATAATGTCGTCATTTCTTATTAAAATAATTAACGAATGATTATTATTAGAATTATGTTCACACTTGTCTCAGGTACTTTCTTGTTATAAATAAAAATAAACGAGTAGAAGTGTGAGTTTATCAAAAATAGATGACCTTATTTGCAAAACTATTAACTTTGTGATTATATGGGCCGTTTCTAAGGCCCAATATGTAGAGCTTGATTGTCAAAAGCCCAACCATTTCTGTTCTTCGTCATCGCTCTCACACTCCTCCAAGCTTCGTCGATCTGAATCACTTTCTCTGGAGTTATGGAAGATGAAATTAGTTCGTTTTTCGAATCATCCCCACCTCTGAAGAACATGAAGGAGATTACAGAGAAGCTTAATCAGTTCATCGAGCTGAATTCTTCTTCGTCACAAGGCAAGATCATAGTTGTTGAGCTTTTATAAATGCGACATTTTGAATTTGTGAAAATGATTTAGAGGGTTTTCAGGAGGAAGGAGGATTGTATGTGTGACTTCAGGTGGAACAACGGTTCCATTGGAGAAACGATGTGTTAGGTATATCGATAACTTCAGCTCAGGAAATAGAGGTGCTGCTTCTACTGAGTATGTTTTGTTTCTCCTTTAAATAAAAAGTTAAGTTTTTTTTTGTTGTTGATCTAAATTGGTTCTGATTTGGTGCATAAGGAATTTTGTGAAGGCTGGATATGCTGTGATATTTCTGTATAGGAGGTAACATTAGTTTTGTTTTGTGTGTTTCTGATTTGTGTGTAGTTGAAAGATAAGTTAATTTTTTGGTAATGGTGGTTATTTATATCGGATTTTATGTGAATCTTCAGGGGAACTTGCCAACCGTATTGCCGGTCTCTTCCCGATGATCCATTCCTTGAATGTTTTGAGTTTCCAGATAACACTAACATTCAAGGTTTTTCATTAGAACACTTCTTTCTCAATCTATATACATTGATTCATCTATCTTCAAATGTAGTTCATGGTTTATGGATATTCAGTGTGTTTTCAGTTCATAAATCACATTTGGAAGCTGTGGAAATGGCTGTTATGGATCAGCAAGCAGTATGTATTAGACCATTGTTTCCTTTTTACTGAATTCGTTTATGAAAAATCTGATCCCTTTACTTTTTTGTTTGTTTCTTCTTTCGAGTGATAACTTTGCCAATTAACATTGCAGGCAGTAGCAGAAGGTCGCTTACTAAAACTCCCATTCTCAACCATATATGAGTATCTTCAGGTTCTTCAATCTTACACAAGCTAATCTTTGTTGTTTTGTCTTGAGGCATATAATAACTGCAAAAGAAACTGCCATAAGGCATTATGAGAATTCTTCAACAGAGCTGCTATGGCTGAAATTACTTTCTCTTTGTGAATGTTTCTGGTTACAGATGCTGCGGTTGATTGCAACGGCACTGAAAGATGTCGGTCCATGTTCAATGTTTTATCTTGCTGCTGCTGTATCTGACTTTTATGTGCCATGGGAGAGCATGGTAAGAGTCTCATGTCCTATAACCATGGCTACACAATTTCTTGTGTCTGAAAAATGTTTTTTTTTTAACTACCAGACAGAGCACAAAATAGAATCAGGATCTGGTCCTTTAGACATAAGACTAGCTCAAGTCCCTAAAATGCTATCAATCTTGAGATCCAATTGGGCTCCAAAGGCTTTCTGCATATCATTCAAGGTCAATCTCTCTCTCTATTCTCTATTCTCTCTTGTATTACTTCTTTGAATTCGACAATTTATATGCAAATTCTTGATCCAGCTTGAGACAGACTCAAAGATTCTGATAGAGAAGGCTACAAAGGCTCTAAGAAAATACAAAGTTCACGCAGTTGTAGCCAATGAGCTATCAACGCGTAAGGAAGAGGTTGTGGTTGTTTCAAGCAGTGGTAATGTTGTGGTTAGACGCGAATGCGATAAGCCTGAATCTATTGTTGAAGATAATCTCATTCGTCTCATCGTAGACCGACATTCAACATACATCAAAGAATATCACAGTTGATTCTTTTTTTTTTTTTTTTTTTTCAGTTGATTCTTTTAATGCTTCTAAGTTGAGAAAAGTTTGAATCTTTCCTTAACACAAGATAGAATCTGTAGATGTTCTATGTACTCAATGGAACGAAAATTCCAATTAGAAATTTTATGATTATTATTTGCACCCCATTCAAGTCAAACACGTATTCCCTAGGTTATAATATTTTTTAGTCATGGAATTTTTTGTAACAATTCTTTCTTTTTAGGTTTAATTAACAGTATCGACTGCGACAAATTAATTAATAATTACCGAAGCAACGTCGTCGACAAAAGAAGAAGGCGTAAGTGACAAGAAAACCATTATGATATGATTTTTGCAAAAATAAAGAAGATCCATAAGATAACACACTTGACTTTACAATTACACAATTAACAAACCCACTAAACAATTATACATATATGATCGATCCACCGTAAATTCAATAAAACAGTAAATTACATATTTGTTAAATTTCATCATCAAAATTATGGACATCCTTACAACACATATATTTACAGTTTAACCATAATTTCGATGATTTTAACAAAACTTTAGTTTTACTAGCATGTATAATAATTTAAGGTGGACCGTATAAGTACATATCATATAACAATGTTTAATATACAATTACCACAATCTTATCTTTCTGTATGTATATGAGTTTATCGATCATCAGTCCTTACGTACATTTGGTGATGTTCCTAGTGGAAACACGAGACGGCGAAGAGGACGGTGTCGTTTCCAGCAGTCCAAGACGATCCGTCCCAAATCTCCGGCGATCGGACGTTCGAAACGTACCGGAGGAGTCGCCGGGAAGTCGCATGTAATAACCGGCGTTAGAAGGAGAGTGATGATCGCTTAGCAAAACCGACGAAAAGCTTCCTTCTCTTTTATATATAACAATGGCTTTGTACAAAAATGGAATCAAACCTTCCATTTCTTTTAATCTCTGAAATCCTTGAGAAACTTTTTATTTCTTCTTTTTGATGAGATTCTTTATGGTTTTGTGATTTGATCAACGCGAGAGAGGGCTTTGGTGTATAATATAAGAGGGAAGAGGGTTGAGATAGTGACGTGGCGTGATGGGTATGTTGCCACGTATGCTTAAACGTGACGGTAAATAATGTTTTGAGAGGATATGCATCAAAGATAAAATTAAATAAAGATGTTTTTTATGAGACGATAGATAATATGTGAAAGTGAAGTCTCAACTTACATAAAGAAATCTTGAACTTCTCAAGCAATCTTGAAATTACCATTTTTAGATAAATGAAAGCATCATCATAGTTTGTTAATAAACTTGTTAATTATAGACCCACAAGCAACAATTTTACACACAAAAACAAAATTTTATAGATGTATTTTTCCTTAATTTTGAAAGGATAATAAACCGTTGTTTACTACCGTGTATGAATTAGTTACTATTTGATAAGATAAGAACATTCTTGGTAAATATCTTAAATATGAAAACAGTCTCTAGCTACTCAAAATTTGAATAACAAATTCTTGAATGAAGTATAATATTAGTCATTAAAATTCATTTCCTATCAAATTACCCACCGCACTAGCCTCAAAATCCTGAATGAAGTCATAGTTTACATCATAGATTGGGAAAAGTTTGATCCCATAGTCATTTTATTTTATATATTATCCAAAAAAAATCTTTGTTATTAGTTAAAATGATATAATTATATGAATTTGACTTCAATACAGAAATAATTGGCTCTCTCACTCAAAAAGCAATGACAATACTTTCTTAGTTTTGAGGATCGTGTTAGGTGAGGGAGAATAATAACAAAACAAACATATAGACCGTTAAAAATTAAATTAAAAGTGAACAAATTCTACTTGGGCCGTTATCTGAAGCCCAATATATAGAATATGAGCTTATATTTGGCCCCACGTGATTATGTCGAATTTTCTCATATGTTAAAGAATCCGGTTTGGTTTCGGTTTAATGTTTGAAATGTGATATAAGAAAATGTGATTAATGAGGAAATAGAATCATTAGTGGCTTTTTGACTTCAAATCGGAGAACCGCCAACGAAGGAAGAATCGTCTTCTTCGTCATCTCCGTCGCTGATCGATCTCATAATTTGTGGAGCTGGTGGTTTCTATAATCGCCGGTGGTGATGGCTTCTAACGATCCTAAAAACGGCGGCGGTTTCTTCGCCTCTCTTGCTTCATCCATCACCAATTTCGGATCGGCCATGAGCAAATCAGTGAACGGGTAAGGAAATTGAATCCCCAACACATTTCCTCGTTTTCGGATCCTAGAATCGTTAGCTGGATTCACATACTTGTTATGTAAGTTATGTTGAATTGTTGAATTCTGGAAATCAATTTTGTTTGATGAATTATGTTTGTTTCTCAGTTTGATGGGCTATGAAGGGCTTGAAGTGATTAATCCTGAGGGAAGTACAGATGATGCAGAGGAAGAAGCAGGAAGAGGAAGATGGAAGCAAGAGGTATACTAGAATTGGGAAAAAAAGAACAAATCTTGATCAATCCTCTGTATTTATATGTTGGCTTGATTGATTTATCAGGAACGTGATGGTTACTGGAAGATGATGCAGAAGTATATAGGGTCTGATGTTACATCTATGGTGACTCTTCCTGTGATCATTTTTGAACCCATGACAATGCTGCAGAAAATGGCTGAGGTTTGTGTTTTTCGATTAGATTATATGAAAGATCTTTTAGCTTTTGGTTTCTATTGATCATGTTTTGTTGTATCTAACAGTTGATGGAATACTCGCATCTGCTAGACATGGCTGACAAAACTGAAGATCCTTACATGCGTATGGTATATGCATGTAAGCACATCCCCACTCTTCATGTTCTTCTTTGTGTTCAAACTCTTTCTAGCTGTCTATGATCAGTGTCTCTTCTTGTAGTTTTTTCATGGTGTGGCTAATTTCATTTGATCTTTAACAGCATCATGGGCTATATCTGTGTATTATGCCTACCAGCGTACCTGGAAGCCGTTCAATCCAATTCTCGGTGAGACTTATGAGATGACTAATCATAATGGGATCAATTTTATAGCTGAACAGGTGAGTAATTTCTTTAGAACTCATGTTTCAATGTGCTTGAAAATAATGAGTTCTTAGTTGAGATATATCAATGTTTTGTTCCTCAGGTTTGCCATCACCCACCAATGAGTGCTGGTCACGCAGAAAACGAGCATTTCGCTTACGATTGCACTTCAAAACTGAAAACGAAATTCTTGGGCAACTCAATTGACGTCTACCCAGTAGGAAGGTAATTTCTCCTAAAGATGTATCTAGATTTCAGATTCTGCATTGTGAGACAAAAGCACCTGAACTTATAGTTCAATGACTCTGTGTGCAGGACCCGAGTGACTCTTAAAAGAGATGGTGTGGTTCTTGATCTTGTACCTCCCCTGACAAAGGTTCATAACCTTATCTTTGGTCGAACATGGGTAGATTCGCCAGGAGAGATGGTCATGACGAACCTGACCACTGGTGACAAAGTGGTGCTTTACTTTCAACCATGCGGCTGGTTTGGGTAAGTTCTTTCTTCATCAAACTTAAAACCCTTTAAACAAATCTGATCACTTGAATTTCATCTCCATGCTTCTCCAATTAGAGCTGAAATTTGGACCTAATGGACAGATCTGGACGTTATGAAGTGGACGGTTACGTGTATAATTCAGCTGAAGAGCCCAAGATGCTAATGACCGGTAAATGGAACGAGTCCTTGAGTTATCAGCCATGTGATGTGGAAGGCGAACCTATTCCAGGCACCGAACTGAAGGAGGTTTTATCAATTTCTCTCCTTGCCATACTCTATGCAAACCCTTGGAATAATATATATCTACTCACCTTTCTAATTATGTTACTTCCACAGGTATGGAAGGTCGCTGAAGCTCCAAAGAACGATAAATTCCAATACACACATTTCGCTCACAAGATCAATAGTTTTGACACTGCTCCTAAAAAGCTACTGTCATCTGATTCACGTCTACGTCCAGATAGATACGCGCTTGAGATGGGTGATATGTCCAAATCTGGATTTGAAAAGAGCAGGTAGCTACTCATAGTCTTTTGGTTATCCTCCCAAAGTAATGCAAAGACTAATAGAAGCCGGGTTTTGTTTTGCAGCCTAGAGGATAGACAAAGAGCTGAGAAGAGAAGCCGAGAAGAGAAAGGCCAAAGATTTGCTCCAAAATGGTTTGATGAAACAGAGGAAGTCACTCCTACACCATGGGGTGATCTCGAAGTGTACCAATTCAATGGAAAGTACTCGGTGCACCGCGCCACAGCCGATAACTCTGAGGATACAACGGATGTGAAGGTGACCCAATTCAACCCTTGGCAATTCCAAGACCTCTCTGCTTAACCCTGGGTGCCATTTGTTGTGTAATGTTTTGTTACTTTCTTAGATTTTTCTTTTGTTTTTGGTACTGATGACCAGTTTCATTGTATTTTTCCATGAGTCTATATTTTCTGAGATTGAGAGATTTGTTTGCAAGGCAATTCTACAGCAGAAAGAAATTGAGAAGTTTCTTGGGGCTTAAGCAATTAGCATAAAACATCTCATTATGTATATCTTAAAGCAATTTATTTAAAATATTATTTGTAAAAACTTTAAAATGTAAATTAATCAAAATTTTAAAAAAGAAATTAATTGTTAAATTTATATTATGTGTAAACATGTTGATAGTAATATAAAACATATAAATTTAATAACATTTTTTTTATAAAAAAACAAGTGTTAAAAATTTAAAAGGAAATTTAAACAAAAAACAAAACAAAACAAAACATTAAAAAAAAAACAAGTGTTAAAAATTTAATTATGTGCAAACCATATTGAACCTAGAACACCTCTTAGGGGTTTGGATGATATATCCAATTGGTTGACACAAAATTAAAAAATTTAACACTTAAAAAAAAAAACAAAAACAAAACAAAACATGAAAAAAAAAACAAGTGTTAAAATTTTTAATTATGTGTAAACCATATTGAACCTAGAACACCTCTTAGGGGTTTGGATGATGTATCCAATTGGTTTATACAAAATTAAAAAATTTAACACATATAAAAAAAACAAAAAACAAAACAAAACATGAAAAAAAAAACAAGTGTTAAAAATTTTAATTATGTGTAAACCATATTGAACCTAGAACACCTCTTAGGGGTTTGGATGTTGTATCCAATTGGTTTACACAAAATTAAAAAATTTAACACTTATAAAAAAAAAAAACCAAAAACAAAATCAATAATTAAAATACTAAAATCAAAATATTTCTTAAGAGAAAATACCCTTACCTTGTTCGGCGAAACAGAGACTAATCGATCATCCTGAGGAGACGCTTTCTTTGATGATCACAGCCATGGAAACACCGTCTCTCTTTGTATCTTTCTTCGTTGTCCTTCCTCTTTCCTTGGCCATCTTGGTGCTCTCCTTGGCCGTCGGTGAAAGCGTTTCGGTGGCCCGTCGTCGACCGGATTTGAAATCGTTTGGATCGAGTGAAGATGAGTCAGAACAGAGGATAGAGATCAATCTTAAGATAGTTGTTTGTTTGTTGAAAAGACGAGAGAATCCGATCAAAAACGAGAATGAGAAGATGAAGAATTATTTTGTTATGGTATCGAAGAAGAAGAAGAAGAAGAAGAAGAAGATAATGAGAGTGAATTTTGATATCTCAAGGAAGAAGAGAGAATGAGTAATGTTGGAGATTCAGGTTTCTATTTATAAGCGTTAGCTTCTCCCAAAACAAAAAGGAAATTTGTGATTGTTTCCTTTTTTCTTCAACGCTGGTTTCCTTTTTTTATTAGGGTTGACAAAAAATAAGAAAATCTGTGAACGTTCGAGAGATCTGGACCGTTTATTTTCATCACGTTGCAACTGTGAGATATCGGATGGTGATAATCTAATCTAAACGGTAAGTTTGTAACATTATGTGGGACCGGGACGATCTACCTCTCTGTTACAAACAAACACTCACAGATGAAGAAGTTGGTCTGAACCAAACTGTTTATAAATGGAGATGATGATGTTGGCTCCTCCTAATGCAGAACCTTTATGGAGCCAGAAGCAGATTCTGAGAATTTGGTGCATCAGGGGATTACCATTGCTGGTCCATGTTTCGGAGAGAAGGAGCCATGAAATTAGAACCAGCGCTATCTTGTCTAATGGCCCATTCATCCTCAATCTTGATTCTGACCACTAACATCTGCAACTCCATGGCTATGAGAGCTTCTTTGATGTTATGCAAACCACCACACTGTCTTCTTTGATGTTAGTATGAGAGCTTTAGATGGACTTCAAGGTCCAATGTATGTGGGAACTGGCTGTATCTTCCGAAGAACAGCTCTCTACGGGTTTAGCCTGCCGCGAGCAATTGAACATCATGGCTGGCTTGGAAGAAGAAAGGTCAAGATATCGCTGAGGAAACCGAAGGCCATGGTGAAGAAAGATGATGAAGTTACTTTGCCTAAAAATGGAGAATACAACGAAGAAGAGAAATGATGATGGAGATATTGAATCTCTGCTTCTCCCAAAGAGATTTGGTAACTCAAAACTCTTTCGTTGCTTCAATCTAGGTTGCTGAATACCAAGGGAGACTCTTACAAGACTTGCAAGGCAAAGGCAAGAACAGTAGACCAGCTGGCTCACTTGCTGTCCCACGTGAACCACTTGATGCAGCCACTGTAGCTGAAGCAATCAGTGTGATATATATCTTGCTTCTACGAGGATAAAACTGGTTTGATGAAACAGAGGAAGTCACTCCTACACCTTGGGTTGATCTCCAAGTGTACCAAAATGGAAAGTACTCAGTGCACCGCGCCACAGCGGATAACTCTGAGGAAACAAATGATGTGAAGCTGACCCAATTCAACCCATGGCAATTTCAAGATCTCTCTGCACAACCCTTCGGTGCCATTTGTTGTGTAATGTTTTGTTACTTTCTTAGATCTTTCTTTTGTTTTTGGTACTGATGACCACTTTCATTGTATTTTTCCATGAATCTATATTTTTCTGAGATTGAGAGATTTGTTTGCAAGGCAATTTTATGAGTTAAAGCAACAACGTCGCTAAAGCGGACACAAAGGAGAAAGGGAAGAACAAACTACAGTAGAAAGAAATTGACAAGTTTCTTGGGGCTTAAGCAACAAGAACATGGAAAGTAAAATCTTGGTTGGTAACAAAAATAGGAAGTTGGTGCCAAAAACAGAGAAAAAAATAATAAAAATAGTTAGTAATTTATTGGCTGTCATGGGTGGATGAGGTAATTACGCAAAGGTCGTGGACTCACGAGGTTGGTTAAAATTAAAAACACTGCAACATTTATTTTTTAAAACGTTTTTTGTAACATGAAATCTCTATGAAGATTGGGTAGAAAGCATTTACCGCGTTTCATGTGGGACGACGTCTTCTTATTATATCCCTTCGCAACTAAATCCACTCATATTTTAACTCTTCAATAGTGGGAAGTTGACAACACATAAAAAAAATGTTATATGGTTGAAAATGGCATTAGTTTCGAAATTCGAGTTATCTAATAAAATCATGGTTTTTTAGATTGTAATATGATTTTCTTATCGTATTAGTTCGTTAAATATGTCTAAACTAAAGTTTATAAACGTGGAGTTTCTAAATGATCAGAGCGTGGCTAATTATTAATTAAACCGGTTCACTAAACCGACGCATCTTCTTCTGATTGAACCGACGTATTTTTTTAACTTTTAACTGTCTTCCATAACTTCCCATTTCCTCTCCACGACTCTCTCTCTCTCTCTCTCCATATATATATACGTCACTTTCTCTCTAATCTCACAACACTGTTTCTCAGAGTAAAGAGTAGAATACCTTAAAACCGGTTTAATCAAGCCGGTTTAGTGCTAAATGGATAATCTACTCTGCGAAGAGTCATGGCCCTCGAGTCCATTAACCCCGGAGCCTTTACCAGACTTCCGTCACAGTTCTCACGACAATGACGTCGTGGCGATGTATCCAGAGATAGACGCAGCGACGATGGAGGAAGCCATTGCTATGGACTTAGAGAAAGAGTTAAGTTTTAGTAATCATGGAGACAAGTTTGTTGAGTTTTTCGTGTCTAAGAAGTTAACCGATTATAGGTTTCAAGCCGTACAATGGCTAATCCAGGTACCTTAATTATTATTATCTATTTTGTTTGCCCATGTGTAGATACTTACAACAACCTATGAAATCTTTCAAGATAGACTTTAAAATGTTGAGTTTACGAAAAAGTTTTCTTGCCGCAAAATTATTTATTCATATCTTTTTTGTTTATGTAGTTTATTGGCACATTCGGAAATTAGTTTTTAAATACGTGTATGAATATGTATTTTCTTACATCATAGTTTTAATAAACCGTAAGTTTTTTTTTTGTGCTTTGGCAGACTCGGAATAGGCTAAATCTTTCATTTGAAACGGTATTTTCCGCCGTAAGTTGTTTTGATCGGTTTGTCTATATGACTTGTTGTGACGTAAGTGTACTTATTTTTCCATAAGCAAATATTTTTACTTAATGTGATTAAGTTTATATTTGCGGATGTAGTAATGAAATGTTCGTTATTAATAAATGCAGGAATGGACGAATTGGATGGTGGAACTAATTGTGGTAACTTCATTATCGATCGCATCAAAGTTCAATGAAGTTACAACTCCGTTACTCGAAGAACTTGAAATGGAAGGTTTAACTCATATGTTTCACGTCAATACCGTTCTTCAGATGGAAATCATAATTTTGAAAGCTCTCGAATGGCGTGTAAACTCGGTTACGAGTTATTCTTTTTCGCAAACCCTTGTGTCGAGGATTGGTGTGGTAGGCGATCATATGATGATGAATCGAATTACAAATCATCTGCTGGATGATTTATGCGGTAATAATAAGTTCTATCATTATTTTGAAAATGTTTCTTGTTATAAAAGGAAGAATTATTTGAAAGAGGAAACTGAATAATTGTTACGCAATTTTACATCTTGATGCATGCAGATTTGAAGATGCTTCATTATCCACCAAGCGTTGTGGCAGCTGCAGCTATGTGGAATGTTCTGGATGAAGATAGTCTGCAAGATAGTATCATGAATCTCTTTGGACAAGAACAGAAGGTAAATTAATTATTTAATGACGTTTTTTTTTGTAAAAGAACTTTTCACGAGGGGAACAAAGTGATACTAACTACGAAACATGTAATATCAGGAGAAAATTGAGAAATGTGTCGATATGATGAAAAATCGAAACACCGATCATCAGTTGTCTATAAGAACATCATGTGAAGGGAAAAGTATTTTGAGGTTGTTGCAGAGAGGTGATGTGATGAACATGAAAGGTGATTATAACGTTGAAGATCTCTCTAAAATTTTTCAGATTTTCCGATACGAAAACAAGAAGAGAGATAGAGAAAACCACCAAGACAACATTCGTCCGGCAAAAAGAATGACGTTTGTAATGTCAAACTACATTTAGCACTTTATGAAAGATTACTACAAAGAGAAAGATGTTTTTTTTTATTCGTTTTTACACAGATTTAAACTCAATTGTAATGTAATCATACAATATTGTTTGACAATAAAATCACAAATACAATATTCTTATTTTATAGATTATGAACTCAAGAATCACAAATTAAATATTTTAATTTGTATAGAATTGGTACAAATTTAATGTTATTAAATCAAATTTATATATAATTTAATCTAATAAAATCCTAGCAAAAAAAGAAATCATGTGTATCAGGATAAAACACGTGGCAAAGTATGAGTGATCGGAGATAAGTGAATAGTGTATCCACAAGCTCAAGTCCTGAACTGATTTCTGAAGATAAAGATTGTTTCATCAAACGGGAAAATTTTCCATTAATTCTCTCTGAATTTCTTCAACAAAATAAAATAAAAATGAGCTCGTCGCCGTTATCGTCATCTCTCTTTCATCCGCTTTCGACCTTGTCGGCTCAAGGCCATGGTCGGAGGCAGAATCTCTGTTTCAGTCGTAAGCAACAATCTGTTGTTGTCCGAGCCGCCAAACTTCCTGAAGGAGTAAAGTTTGAACCTATTTCCAATAATCAAAGCTTTATCTTCAAATGGTAAATTAAAATCCTTTTCGCAGGTGATATTGCCAAAAGTACAACCCAAATCTCAACCTGCGTTTCTGGGATTCACACAAACAGCTGAGATATGGAACTCAAGAGCTTGCATGATTGGACTCATTGGTACTTTCATCGTCGAACTGGTGAGTTTCCAAATGGTTTTTTTTTTGCAAGAATTGATTTAAACATACAACGAAACCAAAACTGAAACATCATCACTTACGTTTTCCAGATTCTGAACAAGGGAATACTTGAAGTGATCGGTGTAGAGATTGGGAAAGGGCTTGATCTTCCTCTATAATGTAACACTGTGTGTGTTCTTTCCAACAAAACATCTTATGAAATGTAAAATTCTGAAGTTTAATTACATATCAAAAACGTGACATTTGTTATGAAAGTTTGATTCTTTTAGATGACTCGAGTGGTGCGAGCATCTATGATTGCTACTTTACCTAATGGCTCTGATAGAGTCAATGCTTCTGAAAGAGAGATGCGTTTGTTTCTCCACGCAGATTCGGCCCATGATTTCATTTTCTCTCCTTCGCTTTTTCTGTTCTCTTGAATAAGTAGTAACTCCGCATACCCGGCTGCACAATCAAAACATTCAACACGCTTATTATGAGCTAACATTGGCAATCGTTTCTGTTTGAAAGCTTACCTCTTGCTAAAGCCATTACTCCTTGATTTTCCATGTTTATTATCCCTATAGAATACAGAAAAAAATGATGAGGAAAATCGTCTTTTATCTCGATAACCTGCAAAGTAGATAGATGTCTGTAAGTACCTTCTGAATCCAGTGGAGGTGCTTTCATGAGCTCCAATGCTTTTCTGAAGAGGCCCTGAGATGATAAAAATAATGGGTATTAAGATGACGAAATTCCAATGCTTTTGAGTTTTAAGAAACTTGTTTCTGACCTCCTGAATCAGGATAGAACTTGAGCGTTCTTGCTTTGCTTTGTTTCCATACATCAGAGCCACAGCGGTTAAAATCACACCAACCTTAGGATGATTATTTCCTGATACAATTAAGGATGATAAAAGCGCAGAATCCGTTAGTCTGGTGCTTTAATCTTTGAGAATCGATGACCAAAACTCCGCACTTCACACACAGTACCATAATGTTCCTCAGCGTTTGTCAATGCGTCTGTCAGTATCTTCTCCGCAACACCAAAGTTTCTAACAAAAGCAAAAACAAACAGGAACTAATGATATAACCAGAAAATTCACACTAGGAACTGTATGCACAAGCTCAAAAGCCTACCCAATGTGTGACTCGAGCTGACCCAGAGCAAATGTGGCTGCCAGCGAGACTGCCTTCAAATTCATGTTACATGAACACATAGATTCTTTGGTCTCTGTCACTCCTTGAATTGCCTTATGATACATCTCCTTTGCCAGTTCAAAATTTCCAGTGGCGTGCAAGAATTCACCATAAGAAAGTGCAATGTTACCTATTTTATGTAGTTATTAAGAATACCCAAAGATCAGGTTCCAACATATAAAAGACAAGGCTAGCTCCAGACTAACAGAAAAAGACTAGTGTGTACCTTTGCAGCTTTCATGATTCTCAAGTCCATGAAATAAAGATTCAGCTGCATCCAAAAAACTTACCATTTAACTTACTTTGGAATTAAAAAAAAACAGAGAGAAGAGAGGTTGAAGCTTGTTTCTCTACCAGATTCAATATTTCCTTTCACAAGCTCAGCGAGGCCTTTGATCGCTTTAGCTGTAGCAACCAAATCTTGAAGATTCTCATGGCCACTCTCTTTTACCAATTCCAGAAATTCGTCAGCAACATCTAATGAAGCATCATCCTAAACAGTAAAAACATATTCAAATTTCTAACACAAGTTCCTAAATATAGAGACACACACAAACATAGTAGCACTGTTAGGATTTGAACCTGTCCTGAATGAATCAGCAGACCAACAAGAGCTTCCACAGCAACAACTGCACAACAAAAGAGAGTTTCAGATACAGAAAGCCACAAAACACTCAACAACTCTAAGTTCACAACAACAACCTCTAATAGCCAACGATGAGTGTGTCAGAGTCATGACTTGCTTAAGGCGTTCAATGGCCTCACTACTGTTCCCACTGTAAACATAGAAAACCAAACACTATACGTTTATCTTAAGCTACCAACTGAAAGAAAAAGAAAGAGAGAAAATAGTAAAAAAGATGAAACCTTTCGTATAAAAGATCAGACATGGCAAGCAAGACTGTTGCTTTAGAATCATGAGAAACCTGATCATCGTTAGGTTGATTCTCAAGACACTGTTCAAGCACTAACATCCCTTGAGCATAAGATTCATCTGCAAATTCAGACAAAGACCCATTTCGAATTCAGTCAGAGGAAACTAGAGTTTAAACACCTAAAAACCTTAGTATTATAGAGAAAGACCTGATTTTTGTGACCTAGCGTGAGAAAGAGCGTAATTAACCATCTGAATAGCAACATGATTCGCGTTTGGAACACTGATTTCACCGTGAATCAATCTCAGTGGCGTCGAGTATCGAATAAGGTTTCCTCCACCGGAGATCGTGCGGCCACGAATCGTTGCCGCTGCTGCTCTTGAAAATTTGGTTGCCGCGCGAATCATAATCGCTCAATTTACTCTTTTTTCTTGTCTTGTTCAGACAGAACTCAGAAGAAAGGTTTTATGGAAAACTCAGGAATCGTCGGAGCTCTTCCTCGCCGATTTCAGTCGGTATAATTTGAGTTTGGTTTGAATTAAAATTGGTTTGGTTTTGTGATAACCAACAAACCAAAAATTGATCCAAAACTTCCTCTAGAGACTAGAATTATGTTTGACGAAAAAAAGACTAGAATTATGTTTTTTTTTTTTTTACTTTTTAAGAATTTAACCCTTTGTTGTATACTTGTATATGTTTTTTTTTTTTTTTTGTTGTATATGTTCATTTTTGTAAATCTTTGTACATTCACTCTTTATATTTCTTGATTTTTATAAACAAAATTTTTTTTTGGGTCCAAGTTTTAAGTTCTATTATATATGTCTTGCAAGATACCTATCCACCAAAAACTTCAACCTTCCCACCTGCTATAAAAAGCAAGTCTAGAGTCTAGTGACATTCTTGGCTTCAATCTCTATTATTACCTTTCAAAACCAACAAAAAAAATTATAAGGACACAAAAGAAGAATGTAATGATTTTTTTGGTGCAAATATAGCCTTTGTTTAAAAACAAAGCAAATCCTCTCATTGAAGTAATGCATATATGCTCTGTCCTGATTTGATCTACAAAGTGAAAAAGGTCTAGCAAAAGTAATAAATGTTGGGACATACTAGGCTACTTACTAGCAAGTGGTGAAGATTAGGCCCCTGAAGATTATACGCATAAATAAACATATAAGATAATTTTTGACAAAAAAAAACATATGACATATAAAAATTTTGACAATGAGATTTTAGGTCTGAAAATTTGTTATGGATTGTAAATTATAAACAAATTTTCCTTTAAGAAATGAAATCTATGAGTGTTGTTAATCTTTATCCAATAATAAACGTTGAGAGACATATGAATCTTTCTCTTTTTCTTTAAATCCAACTTTAACCCATTCTTAAAACGAAAAAGTAAAAATATATCTTTATAGAAGGCTCACAATCAAGCCTCCATATCTTTCTCTTTCCCACTAATCCCATGAAAGTCTCAGCTTATAAAAGGTCAGCACTTGGCAGTTCCCTCTACATCAATCCACTTTACCACACCAATTAGTCTTGCAACCCAAGTTTCCACTTCTTCCTCAACCACGACGTCCTCCATATTCCTCTATTAATATTCTCTTGAAAATTATCACAAAAAGCAAACTTTAGAGTACTGTGACATATCCCCACCCAAGAACAACAACAACAACAATGGCGAAATCTGCAACTCTCTTCCTTCTCTGTTTCACTATCTCAGCCTTCTTATCCTCGTTCACTGGTACGATATCTCAAATGGGTCTACTTCAAAATTTCATTTTTTTCTATTTAAATGCATAAAAATGGCATCTTTATTTATTTGACAAGATGGTTTTTGTTGTTGTTAAGTGTTAACTTTCGTAAAATCTGTGTCTTTTACTTCTTTTGCAGATGGAGCTCAGCTTATAATAGTCAATAACTGCCAGGAGAGCATCTGGCCGGGAATTCTCGGCGGCGGAGGCCAAATCACACCGAGAAACGGCGGATTCCACATGGGAAGCGGCGAAGAAACCATAATAGACGTACCGGATAAATGGTCCGGTCGAATCTGGGGTCGACAAGGCTGCACCTTTAACCAAAACGGTAAAGGTTCATGCCAAACCGGGGATTGCAACGGTGGCTCAATCAATTGCCAAGGAACCGGCGGTGTACCACCAGCAACCGTCGTGGAAATGACATTAGGCTCATCTTCCTCGCCGCTACATTTCTACGACGTAAGTCTCGTCGACGGTTTCAATCTCCCTGTGTCGATGAAACCAATCGGTGGTGGAGTTGGATGTGGTGTTGCGGCTTGTGAAGTGAATTTGAATATTTGTTGTCCATCAGCGTTGGAAGTTAAGAGAGATGGTAAAGTGGTTGGTTGTAAAAGTGCTTGCTTGGCGATGCAATCGGCTAAGTATTGTTGTACCGGAGAATATGCGAATCCTCAGGCGTGTAAGCCGACTCTGTTCGCGAATCTGTTTAAAGCTATTTGTCCTAAGGCTTATAGTTATGCGTTTGATGATTCTAGTAGTTTGAATAAGTGTAGGGCTTCTCGTTATGTTATCACTTTCTGTCCTCCAAAGTGACAAGCTTTTGGGGTTTGTTTTGTTATGTTTATCATGCAGTTGCTTGATTTGGTATTTGTACGGTCTGTTTTTAGGTTATTGAATGAGAAAATGAGGAAATTTGAACTGAAAATCGAATCAAAATTTGATCATATTAAAGTGGTTAACCATCCTTTTAACTAGTGTTCTAAAGACACAAGCTTTAGCTGGTGGGTCAAAAGACATAAAATACGGTTTTAGTGCTTACTCATGATATAAGGAAGAAGGTTCGTTGTAGAATGTGGTCCATAGTGAATCTAAGAGCTGTCTCTCCTCTTTAGTAGCTGAGAGATCTTCTTGTGACATAAACAAGCTGATTGCTTTGATCCGATCTTTTAGTATCTGTCTCAGTCTCTCATCGCCTTTCACTATGCTAGAACCACAAGTACTACAGTCTTTTCTAGCTTTCACGAGCTCAAGCAATCCTCGAAGAGCAGCTTCTCTTACATCAGCATCGAAGCTAGCCACGAGGTGCATCATCAAATGGTGAAGCCCGAGTTCTATAGCAATATCGGAGTCTGAGTCATTCTCTTGTAGAAGATAATGCAACAAATTTAAAGCTTTCCTGAAGAATGAGAAAGCAATGGCAAATGTTTTGAAATTACACAACAGCAGGGCAAAGTTGTACTCTCGAAGTTCAATGGAATCCAAGTTTGAAGAGAAGTGCCGAGTATTTTTACCTTTGAAATCTCACACTATCAGATTCCAAAGCATCTCTTAAACCAGTGTAACCATTTGCAGTTCGGAAACCAGCGATACCAGTTTGATTATTGCGAATCAAAGCTGCACTCCAAGCAAAGAAGTAGATCATAATACATTAATCAGATTCATCATAAACCAAATCTTTTAAAGAAGAGAGGCATTTGATCATCTAAATTTATTAGGACTCAGAGCAGCTTACATGATATTGCACCGAGCGCCTGTGTTCGAGAATGCATATCGGTGTCTGAAGTAAAGTTCGAAAGCAATGACTCTAAACCATTGGCTTCCATAACCGATTCTTGACTCCGAGGGTTGTTCTCAACTATTGTGCTTATGACATCTGCAGACTTAGCCCGAATATTAGCATTGGAGTTTTTGAGGTAGCCAAGAAGAGGTACCAAGCCTCCAACGGAATGAAGATCTTCCCATACATTCAAAGAAGTACATGTTAAGCCAAGCAATCAAAAGTTGCAAGTGCAAAGTATGAAAAGACTCACCATTAGCCATGTCAATTGATTCAACATGTTCCTGCAACTCATCCAGCAAACCTACCAAATCATCATAACTCAAAATCTTAGTAACCAACAAGAGGGAAAATAGCTAAGAAGACAACTATGAATTCCATATTCAACCTTCAATATCTTTAGAGGTTACTTGGTGAGCCTCCAAAACTTGTTGAGGTGTCTGCATTACTTGTGTTATCTCCTTCAACCGCTTGACTACATCTACAGTTTGCGACTGCATAGCCTCTGCAAACCATTTTCGATCTTCCTCACTGTCAAACCAAACAACTTCAAATCAACAAAACCATCCACCACAAAGAAATTTTTTCTATTAAAAGCTAACCAAAGTGATTCATTATATAATGTGGGAACTCAGGGAAAGTTTAGACCTTGTATTGCTCAACTTATAACAGTTTATTTGCTTAAGAGTATGAACATAAGCTTGCACAGAAATCCCTAAAAAAACCTAATTTTAACGAACCCAAACACTCAAATTCCACTACATGATTCATTCCTCATCAGAAACTAACGCAGAACCACACAAATTTCTACGACAACCCAACAAACAACACAAGCTCCACTATAAGTGATCAACAAAACCTGAAATTATAAAGAAACTTCGTACCTTAACTGGCGAGTAGGTCGAGTACCATCAGAGTGAGAGAGGCTCCATTTAAGCAGACCGTCCCAGTTAGGTCCGTCTTTCGCCATTGAAGCAACGGAAGAAGAGACACTGTCAAAGAAAGTCAGAGACAATGACAAATAGCTTGGGCCTTTATTATGTTCACGCTTACTTAATAATGGGCTTAACAGGCCCAATTTTTAACTCGAAATATCTTGGAGGAGCCCACCTTATCCATAGAAACTGAAGAACCCCAAAATCCCAAGTGAAAACGTTATCCACTTCGAGAGAGTGACACGTCAGGAAGCAAATCCAAATTCAAAAAAGCTTTTCCATAAATCAAATCACATCTTCTTATTACTTCCCCCAAATCGAAATCAGTCACTTAAAAACCCTAAATCATGGCGATCGCACCGGCAATGCAGACGACGTTCGTGTCATCGACCAACTTCCTGAAACATTCTTCGTCGTGGGGATCATCATCATCACCGAACAATGTGATTCTTCCCAAAAACAAGAGATCGTCTTCCTCCGTCGTTGTCGCCGCCGTCGGTGATGTCTCTTCCGACGGAACAATCTACTTAATCGGCGGAGCCATCGCCGTTGCACTCGTCGGAACTGCATTTCCGATCCTCTTCAAACGCAAAGACACGTAAACCACTCTCATCTTTTTATATATCTTGTGAATTAATCCGGTTTTAATGCTCGTTAAACCAAAATTGGACTGATTAATTGCAGAAGATTCCCATAGTTTATTTTCCGGTTCAACATTCGAGTTATCTTAACCGTACTAAATCCTCTGTTATGGCTAAACTCTTAACCGATGTAGTAAACCGGTAAATCGAAGAGAGATCGTACATTGTGAAATTAAGCTATGAAAATGTATGGTTTAGGTGTCCGGAATGTGACGGAGCAGGATTTGTGAGGAAAGGAGGAGTGACTCTGAGAGCGAATGCCGCACGCAAGGATCTTCCTCAGATCGTTTGTGCTAACTGCAATGGACTGGGAAAGCTTAACCAGATTGATAAATCATAAGAGTCTTCATATTTATGTAAAAGCTCCATTTTTTTATTCCTCTTCTTCTCTACAATATACCTCTGCAAGAGAAGATAGCTTGGAATGATCAATGGTTGCTTGGAGATGGATGGATATATATACAATTGTTTTTTTTTATTGTAAGTTTATTTGCTTTCGTGTTCTGTAAGAAATTATCTTGAGTATTGTAATTGTATACTGTATGCGAAATTGTGTTCAAACATTTCAGACGTAGCGCAAGTTAATAAGTTAGTGAAACCAAGTTTTTAATTAAGCAGTTATAATAGACGAAACTACCAAAAAACAACGAAGATAAATCTTAAGTATATCGCAATGCTTATCGTAAGTCTCCAAGAACAAATCAATCTCAATAATTACCCTTGATTCTCGGAAAAATTAACGATCAAAACAAGTTCTTGACGATTTCGGTTTTGGTCTTCTCAGGCGCTAATATTCCCGTGTCTCTGTTATCTCAGCATTATGAAGGGTAGATTAACTAACTTTCAAGTAAGAATAATATAATTAAAAAGTTAATAATCTTCTTCTTTTTTTTCTAGTTTCATTGTCAATGATTCACAGAAAATTTTGATTGAAAAGGGTTTTTTGATTTTTCAGATGGGAATTTGTATTTTAATCGTGATCATTGGCGTTGTGAGCGGTTGTTGCGGGACTTACTCTGCTATCGCCAGATTAATCGGCGAGATGACCTAATTGGTTTTGCATTACAAGTAATATTCGAAGGAATAAACCGGATGGTATACCTTGAATGAAACCGGTTTTTGATAAACCATTGTTTTTTTTTGTGTGAAAATAAACCAACTTTATTTTTTTGGTATTTTATTCATAAACCCTAGTTTAAGTCCATTTTACTCAATTTTAGTCTTCATTTTTTTCGCTTGCTCATTAAAAACTAATAAATAAAAGAATATTTTGGAAAATGGGACTGGAGTAACACTTGCATTGATGGATTAATACAGTTTTGGAAGTTAGTCAACAGAGAAGAAGAAAAGAACGATAATCATATATTTGGAAATTCGTAGAATCCTAAAAATATCGTCAGCATCAAATCTACACCGCAATTAAAAAAAAAAGGAAACAAATACTTAAAAAACATTAATAGTTTTCTCTCCATTGATATGTTTCCATATATAGAAGAAATCTCTTTGACTCGCCGGAAAACAAAAATCCCGTTGTTCTCCGTCTATCTCTCCCTTTCTCCATCTCTTCTCTCTGTACATTTCTTCTGTTGTTTCTTTGAGATTTGAGAAAACATAGGAGGACGATGAAACTCGACGAAGAATTCTTACACGACAGAGACCATTCGTTTCTGACAGATGACGAGGAAAATCAAGCAGAGCTTGCTTGTTCCGACGATGAACACGACGGAGACGACGATGGTAAGAGAGACGGAGCGAATTCAGATTCCTCCTCTCCGTTATCTCGAGAACGTTCTGATAACAATCTCTCTGATGTCTCGAATCCTCCATGGCCACAAAGCTATCGGTAAAAAAATCATAAATTTCCTCTGTTTTTTCATTTTCGAATTCTCTCGGATTACAAGAGTTCAGACATTTTTCAGATGAATTTGTTTCAGACAATCAATGGATTTGTTGACCGGAATGACTCCACCTTCGGTGAGTTTCATGCCTCGAAGCAGTTCCAGGAGATTAGCCTCTTCCTTCCATAAGAAGCAACAATCTTCTTTTGTCGATTCGTTTTCTTCTTCCTCAAGCAAACCACTTCTCTCTCAACCAGTTTCTGACAAAGAAGAAACGATATTACCCGTCAAACCTCAATCTCAGCTCAAGCTCTCTGTCACCGATCTTCCATTACCGGAACCTAACCTCTGCTCCTTCTCTCAATCCGTCCTCAACGGTAAAATCAACTGTTAATCTCTAATGATGATTGCTCTGTCTCATAAATAGGGGAATAATAAAATAGTAGTAAGTGATGAATGTTTTGATTAGTATATTTTTATTTGTTGCAGGAACCAATGTACTGTGTGGATTAGGGTTAATAACAATGCCTTATGCTATAAAAGAAAGTGGATGGCTTGGTTTGGTAATACTCTTGTTCTTCGGAGTCATCACTTGCTACACAGGTGTTCTCATGAAGAGATGTCTAGAAAGTTCTCCTGGTCTTCAAACTTACCCCGATATCGGTCAAGCCGCCTTTGGAATCACCGGTCGCTGCATCATCTCCGTAAGTTTCTGATCAATCAAACTCAATTATCAGAAATTCTGTTTCTTGAAAACTGAAACTTTGGTTCTTGTTCTGTTTCTTGAATTGCAGATTCTTCTATACGTGGAGTTGTACGTAAGTTTCATCTTCGTTAATGTTAAATATTCTTGTCTAAATTCTTCCATTAATAGTTGACAATTTATGGCTAATCGTAACTTTGTTTTTCAAAAATAGGCAGCTTGTGTGGAATACATAATCATGATGAGCGATAACTTATCAGGACTATTCCCAAACGTTTCATTGAGCATTGCTTCAGGGATATCTCTAGATTCTCCTCAGATCTTTGCAATCTTAACCACTCTTCTTGTTCTTCCAACTGTCTGGCTTAAAGATCTTAGCTTGCTTTCTTACCTCTCAGGTTTGAATTTTCCCACTGAAAACTCTCTGGTTATCTCCTCATTGGCTATATATATCTAATGGACCGTTCTTGTGGTCTTAATTATCTAGTTGGAGGAGTCTTGGCGTCAATCTTACTCGGTCTCTGCCTCTTCTGGGTCGGTTTGGTTGATGGAATAGGGTTTCATGCAACAGGACGAGTTTTCGATTTTAGTAACTTACCTGTCACTATAGGGATTTTCGGGTTTGGTTACTCAGGTCATTCGGTTTTTCCCAATATCTATTCTTCCATGAAGGATCCTTCAAGGTTTCCTCTTGTCTTAGTCATCTGGTAAGTCCAAGAAACCTCTCCTTACTTGCTTCCCAAGGAACCCTAATAGACATACTCATCCTTCTTTCGTATGCAGCTTTAGTTTCTGCACGGTCTTGTACATAGCTGTTGCGGTCTGCGGCTACACCATGTTTGGCGAAGCAGTCGAATCACAATTCACATTAAACATGCCTAAACACTTTTTTCCATCTAAAGTCGCAGTCTGGACAGCGGTAAAATATATCATTCTCTTCTATTCTATGTATATAGTTCTATACTTGTATAACCAGAAATTGATTTTCTTCAATCTCTTAGGTCATCACACCAATGACAAAATACGCGTTAACAATCACCCCAATCGTTATGAGTCTCGAAGAACTCATTCCAACAGCTAAGATGAAATCACATGGTGTATCGATATTATTCAGAACAGCCCTAGTTACATCTACTTTGGTGGTTGCTCTTTCAGTTCCTTTCTTCGGTAATGTCTCTATGTATCTTTAACTTCCTATGCAAGAAACCCATCCCCCCATAGCTTCTCTGATCGAATTTTCTCAATTACAGCGATCGTGGCAGCACTAATCGGATCGTTCCTTGCAATGCTTGTGGTAAGTTCTTCCATCGCAAAGAAAAACTTGAAACTAAAAATTGATCAAACCCACAGATATTCATTTTTTTTGGTTTGCAGGCTCTTATCTTCCCATGTCTATGTTATCTCAGTATCCTCAAGGGTAAATTAAGCAACACACAAGTAAGAACATATATTAAAACAGTTATTTGATTATCTTTGAGAATTTTAGTAAATTTTAAATCGTTTTTCTTTTGTGTGTGTGTTTTATTTGTTCAGATTGGATTATGCATATTCATTATACTCTTCGGGTTGGTGAGTGGTTGTTGTGGTACTTACTCGGCTATCTCAAGATTAGCCAACCAAATGACATGATTAACTGAAATTTAGATGGCGTTTTAATTAGGTGTGTTGTGTTCTAATTAATGTTTATATATTATCTAGTTTTTCTTCAGTTTTGGTTCAGTTTTTTTTTTTTAGAAAACAAGCCGAGATAAAACTACATATACTTCTTCATTTCAATTTAATATTTATAATTAACAATGTATCTGTCATATGTATTATGATTTGGATTTAACAAAAACTTAAGATTTATCCACTTTTTATTTTCGTTTAGGTTCAGATTATTCCAAAATAAAATTTTATGTCTCTCAATTTTTTACTTTTTATACTTATCTTGCATCTAAATTTTACTCACTTTATTGCAATCGTTTGTTATCTATTAGATCAATCAATGAAATCCACATACAATCATAACTCCTAAAACCTTTGAAACGCTTGGTTTTGAGCTGCAATCATCAATAAACTCCTTAAACTTAGACCATTGATATGTTCCCTGAGTTTGCGTTAAAACTTCTCGCAGAGACGAACCCCACTCAATGAATCAACATTATAGGTGATCAGAATAGACGTTTCCTAACCTCTTGGTCAGCAATTAGGTATATTTCAATACAGTTTGGAAATAATATAAGATATAATTACATAGTACAATCTAAAACCTAACATAAAGTGAATTCAAAGCAATGTGTCACACGACCTAGCTAGTGGGCAAGTGAGAAGAAGTTGATTGGTAAGTGAAGGTATCCTGATTTGGAGCAGGATTCAATAAACATGGACCCAAACTCATAAATGATAGGGCTTTGTCCTTAAAACAGCAAGGCAAACAACATGTGCAACCATACCTCTCAATTTTCAAAAGTTTTTTTCCATGTGAATGTCACATCTTCAAACTCTATTTTCTTTTCATCCATTTTTATTCCATTTCCCAAAAGCAAAACATTAGTTCATTAGTTCATCTTACAGCTCCTTTATTCTTTATTTAGTGGTCTATTCTTGGGTTCAAATGGTTTTGGGAAAAGGCGAAATATAATGATTACCTGAAAATTAAAGTTCTGACATCTAAACATGGGATCCAAACTCTACAATGTATATTACAAAGTCGTTGATATATATATATAAATTCCCAAGAAGTAGTTTTAAAAGATGATTAGAACCTAAAGTAGTTTTAAAATATGGAGAACACATTAGACTCGGGGTATATAATTGGGTCAATCTGTATTACCCGCACCGCCCAAACTCCCATGGCAAATCCATTGACGAAACCAAGGTAAACACCACATGCTTTGAGCGTTTTTTATAAACGGAAGTGTAAGCTTAAATTTTTGAGTTTAATAGTAACAAATTCAACCTAATAAAGAGATTTATTAATAATATTAAAATCATTCCCCTAATTATTTGCCTTGAGCTTCGAGCCTTCTACTGTACCACTCACATTAAAAATCACCAGACTATTCAAAATTTCTTAGACCATCTTTATCAATGGGTTCTTAAGAAAATCTTAAGATGATCTTAGTAATTTTTTAGTATTATTACTAAGAACCAAAGTTAAGATTTACCTCTTTTTGGCTCTTAGGTAAGCCACTTTCATTTTGGATCTTAACTTTGGTTCTTAGTAATAATACTAAAAAATTACTAAGATCATCTTAAGATTTTCTTAAGAACCCATTGATAAAGATGGTCTTACATACTAGTTGATTAGTTCATGTCATATATGTTCATCAGTATGGTACTCTTGTAGATTAATTTTTCATTTAAAATATCAACGAGTTTTTTTATTTAATTATTCATGACCAAAATACATTTGTTTATTTTACATTTATTAAAACTAAAATGATACAAATAATAAATTTGAAAGTCAAAAATACAATTAATATAAGAAAATTATGACAGTGATAGATAATATTTGCAGAATATTATTTGAAAGCTATTTTTTTCTATAACAATTAATGAGAAAATCTTTATTATTTACAAGGAAGAAAAAGAAAACAAAACAGAGATATTTTTCCAGCTGAAAAGAACAAACATCTCATTGATGTTCAGTGAACTTGCACCAAATTACGCTTCTTCTATACTTCTTCTTCTTCATAGACACAAACTCAGTTCTTGGCAATAAACAAAAACTTACAATAATCAAAATATCCTCATCATGTTGTCAAGATTCCATGCTCTGTTTCCTCTTCTTCTTCTCCTTGCTCTTTCAATAAGAACCTATAAATGTGACTCTTCTTCTTCTTCTTTCTCGTTTTCTTCATTTTCTTCTTCTTCTTCTCAAACTCTTGTTTTGCCTCTAAAGACAAGAATAACCCCAACGGATCATCGACCCACCGACAAACTTCATTTCCACCACAACGTCACTCTCACTGTTACTCTCACCGTCGGTACTCCTCCTCAAAACATCTCCATGGTCATTGACACTGGCAGCGAACTCTCCTGGCTTCGTTGCAACCGTTCCTCAAACCCAAACCCGGTTAATAATTTCGACCCGACCCGTTCTTCCTCTTATTCTCCAATCCCCTGTTCCTCACCCACTTGTCGGACCCGGACCCGAGACTTCCTTATACCCGCTTCTTGCGATTCTGACAAACTCTGCCACGCCACTCTATCTTACGCCGACGCTTCCTCCTCCGAAGGTAACCTCGCCGCCGAGATTTTCCACTTCGGAAACTCCACCAACGACTCCAATCTCATTTTCGGGTGTATGGGATCCGTATCCGGATCCGACCCGGAAGAAGATACCAAAACAACCGGGTTATTGGGTATGAACCGTGGTTCCCTCTCTTTCATCTCTCAGATGGGTTTCCCCAAATTCTCTTATTGCATCTCCGGCACCGACGATTTCCCGGGGTTTCTTCTCCTCGGCGACTCTAATTTCACGTGGTTAACGCCGTTAAATTACACGCCGTTAATCCGTATATCCACGCCGTTACCTTATTTCGACCGTGTAGCTTACACCGTCCAGCTCACGGGAATTAAAGTTAACGGTAAGCTTTTACCCATCCCTAAATCGGTTCTCGTACCGGATCATACCGGTGCTGGTCAAACAATGGTTGATTCCGGTACTCAGTTTACTTTCTTGCTCGGACCGGTTTACACCGCGCTTCGATCCGATTTCTTAAACCGGACAAACGGGATCTTAACGGTTTACGAAGACCCGGACTTCGTTTTCCAAGGAACCATGGATTTGTGTTACCGGATTTCACCGTTTCGGATTCGGACCGGGATTCTCCACCGGTTACCAACGGTTTCTCTGGTTTTCGAAGGAGCTGAGATAGCGGTTTCGGGTCAGCCACTATTATACCGAGTCCCACATCTCACGGCTGGGAACGATTCGGTATATTGTTTCACATTTGGGAACTCCGATCTTATGGGAATGGAAGCATACGTGATTGGACACCATCATCAGCAGAACATGTGGATTGAATTTGATCTACAGAGATCAAGAATCGGTTTAGCTCCGGTACAGTGTGATGTATCCGGTCAAAGACTCGGAATCGGATCGTAAACCATATATAACCTGTGTGTAATTATAGTTTTTTGCCTACGTAGAAATGGTTTATCTAGTAGAAAGTGTGCACGTGACTACAGTGAGAGTTGTGTTACGGACACATGCGGCTGTGTAATAACTCCGAGTTTGGTAGTAGTTAGTTAGTTGTCTCTGTTTGATTTTGACACGGTACTTTCTTTGCGTAATTAATTCCTTTTATTTTTTAGTTTTTATTTCACAAAATCGTTAATCGTCAGCAATCTTTAATCTTTAGTTACAAAAGTTAGTGAAGTAACGAAATTGTTTAGACCTTTGTCAATACAGAGTTGCGTAATTAGCATGATGATGATATTTCAAACTTGAAACAGAAAGTCAAATGAAATCGCAAAACTGTGGTTATGTAATTTGATGATCCTTTTAACGGATCCCTCTTGTAACAATTTCTTTGGGTGATCGTGTGTTTAAAGAGGCCCAACTAATGTCACTAAAAAGGCCCATAATAACCAAGATTTTGGAATCAGACAGGTTCAAGTTGCTGCTGACGTGTTAACAAAAAGGCCCACAAAAAACCTCACTCCCACGTGGGAACATAACGCGGTTTACTGTCTTTTTCTTTAGCCCACGCGCCGTTGCACGTGCGGCCTCAGTCATGATCCAACGGTTGCTCGCCAGCTCAGACCGTGAATTGCAGTCGCCTCTGGTTGAGAACACAGATTTGCTTTTCTCCTTTCTTTCTAAACAGAACATTTGAATTTTTTTAATGAACGAATATTCGGACACTAGACATCATAATCACTTCATCACAACAACAACAACAACAAAACTTATTTCTGGGTTCTGGAAGAAGAAAATCTTGGTGGTGGCATCTTCTAAAAACCATGGATGATGCAGATGATAATTGCAGCCCATCGCTGGATCATAGGTTTTTTTTTTCAATCACTTCTTGGAATCTTAAACTTCCTGAGCTACATAGTATCGTGTCCTTAAGATGTTTGATGGTTTTCCTCAATATGTTTTTAAGGTGAAGTGTGTTTGGTGTTTAGTTTCTACTGCAATCTGTTGATGGCTTAAGTGATACTCAACACTTGAATCTTATCTTTGCTCTATACAAATTTTACTTGTGGATTTAGATTCTGGACTTATTTGTGATCCTTTTCTCTTTATCTCAGTGGTATCAATGGTAAATGTTTTTTCTTTTGTTAAATGGTGTGAATACTTTATGGATAGTTGTAATATTGTGGATATGACCCTTTATGGTATGAGCTGAGTATTAGTCTTCTTTTTATCTTTTACCTCTTTTGTCGCATGGAAAATAAGTCGATTCATGACCTTCACTATACAATATATGGTTTCAGCGATATCAACGATCCGATGATAGTTGCTGTGGAATCTCTAGACTCAAGCAAAAAGAGAAAACTGCGTGCTGAAGAATTAGACTTGTTACCCCTACCAAAACACTTTTGTCTGGAGCAACAAGCTTCTCTTGTTGATTCTTCATGTCCATCATCAGATATAGAATATGCAGAATGCTCTTATGCTATGGAGGACACAAAAACCAGCGATGAGGCCTCCTCTTCTGCATCCTTTACAAGCCCTTCTTTGTACATGTTTAAAGACTCTATTTATCCTACCGGAAGTTCTAGTTCTGGTTATGCTGCTACATCAAGCATAGAACAATGTTTTTCCAGTGTTGATCACAAAACACAAGAAGATGCTGAAGACTTTACTCACATGGAATTCATTTGTCACGACTCCGAGTTTGCGGTTGAAGATCTTCAAGAGGTTCTGAATCCAGTTGGGTCTTATATTCTTTCTTCTGAAAGGTGGAGTGTTGGCAACCAAGGTAATCAATGAAAAGCTAAATGATTTTGTGTCACGCATTGTGTATGGGATTCATTTGTGATTATTCTTTCACCATTTGGATTGCAGATTACGAAGAAGCTACCACGAAACCAACCATTGATCAAGAGTTTGAGCAGTACTTTTCAACACTCATGATGTAAGCAACATGAATTTATCTACATATGTATCAATATCACTAATCACTGCAATGTTTATGTAAATATTTTACCTCGTTTTTTGTTAGAAACATATAAAACCAGATCAGAACAAACCTTTTACATGTCCCCGATGTTGTAGACAAATGATCCATGGATCTCACCTTCAATACTACTATATAGTGTTAGACACATATACTGAAACTATTCACAATGATCATTTCCCTTAAATGCTTGTCCAATGCTGATCCTTTAAGGTTTATAGTGAAACATTGATGGGCATAAACATAGTAAAAACATTTAGAGCAAATTATCTCTAGAATCATAAAAAAGAAAAGGAAAGACTATTGATTCAGAGTTTAAAAAAAAAAAAAGCATTAAAAAAAAAACCAAAATCCTCAAAATCATGTCTCTTAGCTTTCTTTCGGGAAGAAAGCTGCGAGCTCCTTCTCCAAATGTTCTTCAGTAGTTTTCTTCACCGCGAGAATTGGATGATAGTAATCAGAGTGAACATCCAGACACTTGGATAGCTTCCCAAAGAGTCCTGCACACTTAGTAACCAAATCTTTGTTCTTCTCAGCTTCCTCCTCAGTGAAATTGCAATCATCATGCCAAGCAGTATATGATTCTTTGCAACCACCTCCTTTCATGAATTCTACAAACTTCTCATCTTCATCTTCGTTTATTTCGTTTAGGGAAACAGTAGTTGAAGGTAGGAAAGTCTTCACAAGACTTTCGTCTAAAACATTTAACGATGCTTTAGACATTGCAATGATCGGCTTATAGTAATCAGAGTGAGCCTCCATACACTTATGTAGCATCGGGTAACACTGACCGATAGTTTCATTTTTCTTTTTAGAATTATCCACGCAATCTTGAAAATCCATAAATACTTGTTTGCAAGCACCTCCTTTCATGAAAACTTCAAATTGATGTTGCCAACCGCTTGACGAATCTACCACTTGATTGTAGTTTTGAGATATGTGCGCGAGTTTCAAAACCGTGGATGATATGATCCCCATATTTTCTCAGCAGTGAGAGAGATTGGATCTTATGAAAATCAAGGAAGAGAGGAAGAAGATAGGTTCAAATAACTTTGTGAATGATACAGTTAAGAGAGGAGATATATAGGGATTACACGAGTACTTCGGGTAGACTTGGTATTTGATATTACTTATTTTAATTATTTTTTGTTAATTACAATAGCCTTTTTATGAATGATACAATTATTATTATTATTATATAAAGATGAGAGAAATATGTTAAAAGAGATGAAAGCTGGAGAAATTTACGGTGTAAAAAGAAAAAACAAAACACAAAAAAAAAAAACAGAGAATATCCAAATAATTAAACATATATATGCAAAATATATGCAAAAGATCTGTACAATTTTTCACCAAATATCGCGGATACATAGGCTCAGTGGTACCCATGTTAAATGTAAATGTTTTGTCTTTAGTTAAACGGTGTGGATACTTTATACTTAGAAACTTGGATGTTACAAGTGTAGATAGTCTTCTCTTCACTCTCATGGAAAATAAGTCAATATATGACCTATACTATACGACATTTGCTTTCAGCGGTATCAACGATCTGATGATAGTCGCTGCGGAAACCTTTTGACTAGAGCAAAAAGAGGAAACTGGGTTGAAGAATCAGACTTGTTACCCCTACGGAAGCACTTTTGTCTGGAGCAACAAGCTTCTCTTCCTGATTCTTCATGTCCATCATCAGATATAGAATCTGCTGAATGCTCTTCTATATATGCCATGCAGCCATGGAGCCATGAAGGACACAAAAACCGGCCCCTTGTGCGTCTGTCCCCCAGAACCTTATTGTTTAAAGACTCTCTATTCATTCAACCGGAAGTTCTAGTTCAGGTTATGTTACATCAAGCGTAGACCAGTATTGTTCCAAAGTTAAATCATAAAACACAAGAAGATGTTGAAGACTTTACTCACATGGAATTCATTTGTTCCGACTCTGAGTCTGCGGTTGAAGATCTTCAAGAGGTTCCAAAAATCCAGTAGAGTATATTATTCTTTCTTCTACTAGGTGGAGTGTTAGCAACAAAGGTACTTAATATATGAAAAACAAAGCAACAACAAGCTACAAGAGTCAATATTTTAGTGTCACACATTGCAAAATTGTATGAGATTGATTTGTGATATTCTTTCTCCATTAGAATTGCAGATTCCGAAGAAGCTACCACAAAAAACAAACCATTGATCGAGAGTTTGAGCAGTACTTTTTCAACACTTATGAAGCTACACTGTAACCAAAAGAAGAGAGCAAATAAAGACATTACAGAGGTCGGTCATCTGCAATTTTCTAAGGTTTTGATGTTGTCTTGTTCACAATTTCTGAATCTCACTTTCTTACCCAATTGTGTAATCTCTGACAAACTCTTCAACGTTTCACAATTTATCTTTCAACACAACAAGCCAACAAATTTCGAATTGGAAAACAGATGGCAGTTTCATTTTAGTAAACTCCAATTTCGATACACAAAACAAAGTCATCTCTCTGAATGATAAAATCTAATCTAATAGAACAAATCATAAACATGTATCTACAGAGAAGAAAGTAAAAACCCTAGAGAAATATCAAATCAAATCTCAATATCTAAGCGCAAGCTTCTCGTCGAGGCTGTGCATAGAACAAAGTTTCCAGATCCGGTGGTTGAAAATACCCGTTCCTCGGCGGATCTCGTTTCCTCACCACCATCAATTTCTTCCTCGGCGGCGGTGGACAAACAGACGCCACCGGAATCCTATACATCCTGCTTCTCGGCGTCGTACATCCTTCCTCCGTCATCTCCGTCACTCTCTCCACCACCTCCATTCTTCTCTCTCTCTCTTTGATTCTCTCGAACTCGAAATCGTAAGAGGGAAAAATTTTGAAGTCTGAGAAGAGGCGGTTACATCTTTATTTTATATATCAAAAATAAATAAATTCTATTAAAATTTTCAGATTATTTTCCTTTAAAAAATTTCGAAATTTGGGAGGGAGAACAAAAAAAGGAAAACGGAATCTTTCTCACGAAGCTCTTTCTAAAGATCAATCGGACGGTGGATATTGATTTAAACAGCTTGGTCTGAGCTGGCTATGCTGACGTGCTGAAATTTTAGTGGTTGCGCGTGACCCTACCGCACCGTTTCAGACGCTCCACTATCATTATTGGTAAAAACTTAAAATATCAATATATATTTTTGTCCACTTTATAATATTAATATTTTAATCTGTAATTTTTCCGTTTGTGACGGCGCGAACTTGCGCTACAAGTCCCTTTGGGCGGGAAAATTAAAAAGACTCCTTCCTTTTTGCAGCGAAAACTTTATGTTCGTACCGATCGGTTTGATAACTTAAACCAAAATTTAAACCGGTACCGTCTCTCACCAAAGTCACGTGATTTACTAACGCTCACTTTACTAATATGTAGAGTTGTCATTTGTTACCGTTGTTTCTTGTCCTCAAGTTAAAAAAGTCAAAAGACACATATCAGAAGATAAAATTATAAAATTATTGATTTTTTGTCAAAATTCACTAGATTAATATATTACGGCATTGATGACGAGACAAACAAAAGTTCGAAATAGAAATTCAATAAAATTGTCAAAATTTAGTAGCAAATTTAATACAAGTCCATAAACCCACAAAAAGTCTCAAACGGTCAAACCCAATAAGAAAGCAAAACAATTACGAGGAAAAACCCAACAAATCTTAAACGGCCCAATCTGATCAACAAACTAATACATCCGTTCCGGCCCATGAAAATAAACATTACCGGCGGCGAAAAGAGCTCCGAGAAGATGTGGGTGCTCCGGCGACAAATAATTAAATTTCCAATATTGTAATTTCATGTTCTTTGTTGTTGTCAACTACTTTTCTTACTAATCTTTTTTTCATTTGACTAGGTCTTCTAGTTTCAACTTCGGTTAAAATGGTCCTTAGATAAGTTCTAAACTTGTCGTTTTAAATTACAACGTAGTTTCTTAGACGTATCGTAGAGCTTCTTTATTTAAATAATAAAAACAACAAATTTTATGTGGAAATAGAGTTGTTTGCAGGTCTTTGTTGTTGTCAAGGAAATTTCTTGCAATTTGTTGTTTCACTGAAATGTCAACGTATATGTGAACATCGAGAGCCTATCACATTCTCTAGTCTCTATGATCATAAGTACAAATTATACAATGATCATACTTATTGGTTTTTACCATTATATTAATACTAATTGATCAAGCGATATTGCTTGCGGCTCCACTTTATAAATAAGTTCATTATCAAACGAAACGTAGTCCTAGACTCCTAGTAATTTTATTTTCATTTTGGAGATTCAGTTATCAGATTTAAATAAAAAAAATAAAGAGGGAGATTGAGAGTGTAATTATCTGTTTTTCCTAAAGACTAGTAAAAAAAATCTCAAATTTTATCTTCGAGTGTTTGCTATGTCATGGGGAAAAAAAGGAAGAGAAATAACAGGGAAAATGTAGTGGAGTCTACATACATGAGTCATATTGATGTCTTTCTATAATAGTATCAATTAAGTTCTGACGAATGAGTGAAAATATATTTTGTTGAAATTATTGTTAGAGCCTTTAGTTTTGAGTGATTGTCCTTTTCAGTTTTTCACCACGATTTGACCTTTTTTTTATGAGTCTGAATTACGAAACTTCACATAAATTTCTGATTAGTATGCCAAAAGATAAAAAAATACTATATGATCAGTAAGTTAGTAACGCGATTTGAATATGAATACTATATGATGATAAGTAATACATTGACTTTTATCGTAAATCATTGTACTAGCAGAATAGCTTTAGTTAATTATTTTCGCTTGTTATTATATTCCAAACTAATCTAACCCCTTCTCTTGGACTTCTATGGAGTTTTTTCTTGATATTGTTAGTATGTTTACATTTAGTATTTATTTATAATTTAATTTGAACATGCTTCGTGTTTCTTCTTACTTTTATTAAGTAATTTAATTTTATATATCAGCAACAAAAAAAATTATATATCATCGTGAGTAATTTTGATATTTATGATTAATTGAGTTAATCAATAAGAGCCAAAAATATGACTAAGTATAGCTATCAATTAGTACTAAATTTAATCGAAAACCCAGAAATAACAATTTGAAAAGAAATAGAAAGAGCAAAGATGTCAATATCAATGCCAACTAGCTGCTTTCGATATAAATGCAACAGTTCGGAAAAAATAAGAGTTAGAATTAGTCAAAATCAGAAACACCCATTATCATTTAAATCCTAGTAATCAAAATGACATTTTATACACGTAATTCTACAAACTATTAAAATTATGTAATTAAGAGGAATTTCATACAAATATCTAACATTTTTAAAGGTTACCAAAGTTTCTAATCGGGACACTTGCGTTTGTTGGTTTTTGTTCGTATTTCTTCACGATCCAGGAGTCCAATTATTTGCCACTTTAATATATCAAAAAACAAAATACTTTATCAAAAGAAAAGCTGAATTGCAAACAGCTGTTGTTCCTTCTAAATTTAGACTCTTCTGTCTTTTTCGAAAGTACCAATTATATGGCCGATCGATTTCTTTTTCTACCCATATTTTCTTCTATGTTTTAACTTTTAACAAATACTTTTAAGACATAATTATATTCAGACAGATTGGCACTTTCGCATCTTATATTCACGTCTTAGCTTATTTGGTAAAAATATACTCCCAATATTAAATATCTTTAATTCCTATATATAAAATCAAAGCCAACATTTGTGAAAAGTATCAATAGTAGCAGCTACACGAGAAATAGATCTGAAGATTTTGATTTTTTTTTTAATAATCTATAACTGAATCATCTTTGTTTTTATATTTCTAAGTATAGTCTAGCAAGTAGCAACGAAGGAGTTTTTGTGATTCAAACTAGAAGGGATCTAATGTATTAGCGATTTAGTGTAATTACTCCATTCTTGTTTTTGGGTTACTCAAATTCAATATATTTAATACTAAATACCTATAATGGATCTAATGTATTAGTGTTATGGATCATTTCCAGAAAGTTTGAAAAGTTTGTCAACTAGTCGTACACATTACCACGCGAGATTATTGCG